CGATTCAATTCTTTCCTATTTCTCGACTATTTACTTACCATGGTGATGGTTATAATGATGATGATAATGATGGCCTATTGACGTAAAACACGAATTGAATTATTGCTGATATGGAACAATTTATTGATCTTAAATCTTACCGCAATTATAGCCATGGCAATTATCACTACAATCTCCTCCATGGCATCCTGAAATCAATTTACTCGAAGAATTATTTGTATTTTTCTATAGATCCAATGGCAATTAGTTTTCAATTGGGAATCCTAACTTGGGATTTACCAAAAACATTTGAGTGTAAAGCAACGCTCCTATTCACTTTGAATTTGACAACTGATATTGAGCGCAAACACCACCTAGATAATTTAAGGCTAATGACAATACAATCAAGTAAACTCTCCGTTCTGTCAAACGTCATACTGAAGTATAACATACAGACATCACGAATTCGCCATCGGTTCTTCAGATGGCGCTTCGGTCAACCGAGTTCCAATCAAATACATGTATCAGTATACGAAGCATTCCACTGTTGGTGTAAAGATTTCTGATGTTACAATGTCATTAAAAAAAATTCGGATTTTGTTTAGAAATCAAGCGAATTGGTATATTGACAAAAATGTAATTGGATTTGTTTTTAATACGACTATCCGTACCCCAGCTGTTGCCCCAGCTAGATGAGGGATTGTTGTTATTATTATTGTTATTGTTGTTGTTGTTGGCATCGTTATTGTTATTATAATGTTCGTTACCGTATCCATGGTCGCCGTGTCCTCCGTGCTCATCTGTTGTGGAACAAATTCAGTTTTTCTTGGAAAAAAGTATTTTCAAACTTAAAACAAACACTACACGGACTGTTTTCTACATACCATGACCATGTCCATCATGTCCATCGTATCCATCGTGTCCATCGTTCCCTCCATGGCCCCAATTATCTCCGTACCCTATTGGATTGACCGGTATACATTTTTTTTATTATTTTGTAGCAAAAGTATCGACTTCAGGTTGTCATCTATGTCGAGGTATTTTGACTTAATTTTTTAGTGTTGGAATTTCGAACAATTTCAAAAAATTCAATCATATTCGCTGGTTTAGAGAGTCAAATGTGATTATGACTGTCTAATGATTGAAATTTCAAACAAAAAACAAAGTCGAAATGTCCCAAATTTGCTGAAAACTGATGATCACTCGTCACTTATGAATTTGTATAATAGAAGAAAAAATTTACCATGTCCACCGTGATGGTGTTCTTCTGATGAACTTCCGTCGGATTCTTCGGATGAATAATGTTGATGATGGCCTGCAATCAGACAAATAAATAATAAGATTTTCCAATTACATGAACACCGAAACGTTGTTCGTAAGAAATAAGAAGTTTTATTTTTTCTGTTGGTTTGTTTGGATTTACCTCCATGATTCTGATGATTGTGGTGAAGATGATGGTGTTCTTCCGATGATGAATCGGATGAATCGGACGAATCATGATGATGATGATGATGGATCACCGAATGGTGAATGCAATGACTACCGTGGCACTCTTCGCTGCTGCTGTCACTATTGCTACCGTCTACTGGATGAAGTAACATAAAAAATAAAAGGAACATAAAATATAAAAAATAGACACTTGATCCAAGACTCAACACTCAACTAAAACCGTCAACAAATCTATTTTCTTACCTATGGTAGCTTCATTATGATTGTAGATATGAACAGGTTTTTGGATGTAGCATCCCTGTGGCCCACAATTTTGTGGTTTTGGTTTGAATAGTCCGAAACCTTTTGTTGGGCTATCATAATTATAATCTACCGGGAATTGGTATGCTCTGCCGCTTCTTTGATCTGAACATTCTGCAACCGGGATGCACTTATCTCGATGACGCACTAGGTTCTCTTTACAGAAGCATCCTTTAACACACCCAGTTTGTTCGCATTCATCAGTCGATTGTGTTATTCCAATTGATGATGATGCATCTTTGCAACCAAGCACACATTTTGTACCACATTCTTGGTACACTTCATTTTTAGTGCAATTTGCTTCGTCCGTATGTTTGAAAATTTCTAAATATTTTTTTGTATCGATCAAAACGGTCAACTCATCTTCAATATTCACTTCTTTGGCTTGAAAACCTATGAAAAAATTGATTTTTTTTTAAATTCTCGATTTCCATGGGAATTTTTTTTTCATTCATTCTGAATCATTCATAAATTAAATTTCAACTCAACAATATGATTATTATAAATTCAAATTGCATTGTTTTCCATTTACCTGACACCAAAAATGTGCACAAAATCATTGCCACTGGCAAATTTGCCATAATTTTACGGAAATACATGATTGGCCGATTATTCGTTCAGAAGCACTTCACCAACTGTTTACGGGTTTAGTAGATTTTTTTCTTTTATATCTGGCTGACAAGCGTATGCCCATCTCCCCAATTTTTTTTCTGAACATTCAAGTTTTAGAGCTTTGATCCGTCATTTATGAACCGTATAATCATTCAAATGCTACGCATCCATTGAAATTTTTCATTATGCACATTAAAAAGCGAAATAATAAAATGCGCATTTAAATGCAAACGATGAATTGACATGGCACATAGATACGCACACACGTGTTCATTGATCTTGTTTTGCATAAATGCGTTGATAATAATGGAAATGCGGTCGCTAGAGAAAGAAAGAAAAAACGGTACAATCGAATATGTTGTGTCAAATCAAAAACCAGCAAAACTTTGCGGTTTCTTCTGAAGTTTTAATCAATGGGGAAATTAAATCAAATTTGTTTAGTTACGATTCCTCTGCTTTTCTGCTTTACACAGAAAATCTCAAATTTCGATCATTCATGTCTACTTAAACACGCGTCCAAAATGTTCTTGGGATCGTTTTCATTTGATATCACACAAAAAAATAAATACAAAACATTGTCCTATCGATATCAACAAAGAAATTAGCATTTTTTCATTCAAGAAAGGTCATTCATTCATTTACCGAAATATTGAATCGCATTGACTTATCCTCCTCCTGGTGATTCTTCTTGTCTTATTCATTCGACGACAGAACCAGTTTTGAATATTAGCTGTAGTAACCAGGTGCTATTCACCAATACGGCCTATGTAAGTATGTTGAAAGTCGTCATATTATCATTTTATGATAGACTTTTTGTATTTATTTAGCAAAATAATTTCTTTTCATTATATTTTCAAAGATCAATAGCAATGCTCTCAGATGCGAACGAAAAGAGGGGATCAAAACGCAACATTCATCTTATCGATCGATCAGTCATCACCACGCATTTAGAGTGAATTGATTTGACGTCCAATTTCCATCTTATGGATTTCTTTGCGTGATCGAGCATATTTGTTTTTGTATCCAAAACAAAGCCGATCTTCGAAAATGGCTTGTGGTTTTGGTTGGAATTCCCTTGGAAATCAGAATTCGATTGTTGAAATGCACTTTTGGCACTTGATAGATTCAATCTTCGTAAAATTAAACGTCATAGATTTTGACTACGTCCAATCTTATGGGAAATTGAATCTTGAATGAAATGAGCATTTACTCATTGAGCCGCATTGCGATCAAGATTTTATGAAAAACGAAAAGATTGGAAAGGAATTTTTTTTATAGGTACTTCTTCCAAATTTGCGCTCTGAAAATGAAGCATCCGTTCTCCTTTTCGACTCAAGAGTCGATACTACAAGAATCGATAACATTCTATTGTACATGTGATTACTTGATTTGAGCACATGATTATTTGGTTTTCAAAATTTTGCTCTGTGGCTCGTTTTTCCAGAATGCGACTTACTTAGGCTTTAGCATTCACATATATGAATTGGAATCAACTAGTTTTATCTGATTTAAGCCTATCATATTCTGTATGCCTGAAATTTCATTATGTGTAGCGACAAAAGCTTGATTTACTCAAATTCAAATACATTTTATGAAAGAGATTTTTACAAAGAATATTTTGTGATTTAGAAACTGAAATGAAAACATATTTCGAAAATTGTTTTGATTTAATTAAAAGTGTATTTCAATAACGAAAACATCTTATTCAAACAACCCAAATATGGGTCACATTCCTCTTATCATCACCATAAATAGAAAACAAACTTAAATCAAACATTTTATCCATTTTAAGAATTAAAAATGAATCATCTCTCTTTTAGTCGGTATGAGATGTGTGCTATGAGCCGATGCTGGAGCAGAACTGTCAAAAGGCTGAATGGCGGTTTTACTTTGATATGACTGTCGGGAAATGTGTTGGAAAAATAGCTTGTCCCGGAGGAGCTAACAACTTCAAAACATGACAAGAATGCCACGATGGCTGTGAGAAGTTCATGCAAGATTATTCTTAATTATAACGGTGTGATTATTTTGTGATTGAATAAATGTTGGTTTAAACATAGTACATATAGTTCGACGCATATTTCAATCATTTCTTTCCCAATTTTGTGTTGAGACAAGCATTGAGAGTTATTATTGGAAACGACAAATGCCAAAAACCATTGTCGAAATTGTGATTGTCGAAAAAATGTGACTTTGTTCAACTCTAAAATAGATACGTATACACTGCACAGAAAAATGTATCAAAACAAAGTGGTTGAACCGAACCTTTTTTTTTGCGTCCACCACAAGTCATTCTCTTTGCTGATTTTATACAGCTAAAATGTATAAAGCATAAATAAAAAAGTAAAAGAGTTTTGCAAGTATGTTTTCAAACCTTTTCAAAGTTTTATTTTCATTTGTCAATAAATAAATAAATATTATAGCTAATTTAATACATTTGTTAGTCCATTTCAACTAAATAATAAGAATAATTTAATGTTTTTTTCGGTTTGTATCCTAATTTACTAGAACTTTCGTTGTCTGTATATTGACTCTCTATTCATGGCAGCGTCTTCATCTTTCATAACTTGTTCACTGAATGGTACATTTACGAACGAATTTTGACGGTTGAATGGGCTGTTGTTCGGGTTCTTTCGGTTGGTTTGGTCAATTGGTTGAGCTTATTGAGATGCAAAACCGTTGTATTGTATGCCGTATGCACTTGGATCGTTAAAATTGGCCTGATTCGATGCGTATGAATTTAAATAACTGAAATATGCATCGAGGTATTCAGGGGTGGCTTGATTTGGTGAAAAGAATGTTTTACTTTGTTGTTTCATTGAATTGTAATACGATGGTGGAATCATTTGTGGACGTGAGTCGTTCGATCCGCGTGAACTGCTTCCTGACTTCTTCGAACTGCTTCCTCTGCTTGACGATTTCTTTTTCTTGTTAGTTTTCGGAAGCTCTGCTCTGGAAGCTGGATAGTAGTAAGCTGGAACGTTTTGTACGGCAGGAGCTATTGCGACCGTTAATGGTGAACCATTTTGATACGAAGCTGGGACTCCAATGTATGGAATTTGATCACTAGTGAATTTGTGCGGTTGTGGCCCGTCCATCCTAAACGAATTGAAAACTTCTGGACTTGAGGCGGTGTTGGTGCTTGTTGTGCCGTATCCAGAACCATCATTTACAATGTTACCTGAAAAAGTATCACAAAATGTAAAAATCTAATTTGCAATGTAAATAATCCGATAAATCGTACCATTTCGGTCAACAGTAATTGTGCCAAGACCAGGCAAAGTGTATGTATACGTCTGCGTCACTGTATTAAAGGTTACGCTGCTCAGTGGAAATGTAATCTATAAATGAAACGAAAAATAAATAGATAGCGCAATCAATACACATAACATAAAATCGACAGTTTTTTATTCTTACCGAAAGTCCATCAGTTGTGAAGCCTCCTGCTTCACCACTTCCTGCTCCACCTGTAAAATCAATAGAGAAGACAGAATTAGCTATAAAACTATTCTAGAAATTATTATAAGGAATTTATTGGCATCTGATTATCATTATTGTTGTTATTTGTGTCCGATCCTAAAAGCCATTCAGATCAATATCAATTTTAATTCATTTCGACTGGACTTGAGACACCATGTACAACATGCGCTTGATGGCGCTTATAGCGATGAGAGTGACGACGATACTGTTCAGATGACTCTTCTATCTGAAAGTTTTACCACATTTTCGTCAACTTTATATTTTTTAAATATGCATTCTGGACATTTTTGAGTCAAATTGAACGAGAGAAATTACTAATAATTTCTCAGTTAAACGGCGTAGAGTCCAACAACATTCACTTAAATACATTCCAATGAATGTCAATTTTTCACCTTATTGACTCTACTGGAGTCGGATTAAATTATTGAAATAAATTTAATGCTAACCTGAATGCATTTCGGACAATGTTGCTGTCCATCATCAGCAATCACGACTAATTCGTTCAACGGGATTTTCAGCTTTACATGACAAATTTGCACGCCAATACACGAATTGAGTTGAGACCAACGAAACGAAAAAACAACACTCGATACATACACACTCACTCACACACAAAACAATACCGAACCATTTCACTTGACTTTGGCAAACAGTGGCGATTCAATGTTGCCTCTCTAACATTGTCCGAAATGCATTCAGGTTAGCATTAAATTTATTTCAATAATTTAATCCGACTCCAGTAGAGTCAATAAGGTGAAAAATTGACATTCATTGGAATGTATTTAAGTGAATGACATTTTTGAGCTTTTTCATGAATTTTTCGAAAATATGACGCAAAGAATGATGATTAATCTGGAAGATCTTTGTTGGCTCTAAAATCGCGAGGAGTGAAAAGATCAGAAATAGTTGAAATGTCAAGTCACATCAAGAAATTCGTTCCTCCAGATATGTGGCGACCTAATTACTGCACAGTACTTGTCTGGCCTCTGTGCGCTCTAAAGAAAATCACGCGTCAGACTGTGGAAATGGTAAAAAAATCGCAATATGTATTGAATCGATTTTTGAAATCTTATATCATGATACCCGGGAAGTGACATAATTAAAAAGAGCCACAATAATCGCAGTTTTTTGCTCTCCCAACAATATGGGGTTGACCTTGAGTTCACTGTTCATCACTGTATCGAGTAATGTTCCTAATGAAAATGTATTTGTTCAATGCGAGGTCAATTTGAATTGATTTTCCTCGGGATCCATTTATTTTATGATTTCTTGTGATTTTTTGACTGATTATGTTTTGTGGCGATTTCGTGATTTTTTTGACCAATTTTTTTATGATCCTAATAAACACTTATTGATTTAACCTACCCAACCCAACGAATGACAACCGGATATTCAGGATCTTCATGATTTCCTTGTTTTCAACCAAATCATAAAATCCCACCCAAAAAAATCACTCAAAAAATCCCAAAATAAAAAAAGAAGAAATCACGAAATCGCCACAAAAAATCAGACAAAAAATCAAAAGAAATCACAAAATAAATCGATCCTGAAAAAAATCTTAAAATCCTATCTAATAAATGTTCATTAAAATTGAATGATTTGGAATGAGATTGTTAGGGACTTTTGGTCATGACACAATCTCCTGTGTTACAGTAAAAAAGTGATAATAATCTGCGAACTTGGGGACAATCCCACTTTTTTTTTTTGGGAGAGCAGCACTTTTTTTGCTACACGCAAAATCGGGCTCACCGAATCTTGTCTTAGACTTAAGTAGTAGAGATACTTCCTGGGTAAGGCCAATGGTCATTCGTATTGTGATATGACTAAAAATCGATCCACATTAACATGTAACGGTATCTATGCGTGAGCTTGAGTACATTTCTGAGAAAAATACTCTGCTCTTAATTCCACCCAAAATACTCATTTCGAATGACGTTCTTACCTCCTCTAGAACCTGGTGGTCCTGGTGGTCGTGGTGGTCCTGGCGGCTGTGGTGGTCCTATTGGTACAGATGTACATTTTTGATATGTTATTAATATGTTATTGCCCGACATATTTATTATTTGTTATGTTGGGATTTTCTTTTCGTTAATAACGTTATCAAGATTTGGCATACTAATAACATATTATCTTAATAAGAACCAAACAAAAACGCAAAAAAAGTGTCATGTTAAAAACATGTTAATTTTTGTCAGACGTCCTTCTCAATACGTTCATTCATAATCGCTCGTAAGACGCGCTTGTAGACGTGCACATGCCTGTTTGTATGTGCAACATTTATTGCGCGTAAATTTTCAAGGGGAATGAAGCGAGCGGCTCTGTTGTTCGTAACAAAACAGCTTGTAATACGTGTAGAAATTGCACATAATGAGTGTGAGCGAAACAGCATAAGTTTTCGGCGCTCGATTGCCTTCCATATAGGCCAATGCAATTGAATATAATATTATTAAATATTTACGCATGGAAATATCTCGAAAACAGCTGGGTAAATCGGTAAAACGGACCGTGATGTCACTCCTATAGGGAGTGTAAACACCCAGCTGGTTTGATAGCCTAGAATACAAATCCGGTGAAATTTCAGCTGATCCATGGATTCTCAGGATTTGACCAGGTTCCAGTACTTCCTTTTTTATGTGCATCTGTAAAGTTATATTCCCTATATTTTGTATGGAATTTTACCACAACACAAAGAAATTGAAGTGGTAGAATCAGGTCAAATCCTGAGAATCCATGGATCAGCTGAAATTCCACCGGATTTATATTCTAGGTCGTTAAACCAACCGGGTGTGTTTGGTGCTATCGGCACATCGAAATTCGCACTCGTTATCAACTTATCATAATTTTGAAAAAGACTGCATCATGGCCGAAATTAGATTCAAAGAGAAACAACACCAATTTGAGAAACAAAGTGCCACAAAGCAAGTTTCGGCTTTAAATTGCAACATGATTTTTTATGTTGCTCTTTGTTTCTCACATTTGCTTTGTGTCGCTTTGGTTCAAAAACTTGCGTTGTTGCTCTTTGTTCGTTGGCAAATGCCATGCTTCGATTCAATTCTCAAATATTCTGAGGGAATTTTTTTGTCGCAACGGTTCAATTTGGAGTCAAAAAGGTTAACAGAACATGATCTTTTCGGGTTAATGTGAGGAGCAAATTTACTTAGTTATATATATTGGCTACAATATTGCCGAAGAGAGTGGCCAAATAATTCGAATACTTTGTGAGATATATCCGGAAAAATAGATTTTTTTTAACCCAGGATTTTATTTTTGTTCCTTTTTAGCACGTGAACTGGTGCCGTAAAGTCATGTTTTAATTACTTAAGGGTTTAGATGATGCTACTTTTTGACTCTACAATGTTTAGAATCGCAACGATTCAAATTGCTTTAATTTGCTTAATTCGCCAAGCGAATACTACGAGCAAATACTCAGTGAAAATTCCGAAACGTATCGTATGGAGTAAATGCCAATTTTTTCTCTCTTTTAACACTCATTCGAAGCGAAGAAGAAGAGTGATTTTTTTTAAATCAGACTTTTTGTCCCAAAACCAAATGTGATTTGTTTTTGACAAAGTTTGTTCGTGAAATTTGCTTCTTGGACTCTAAGCTACATTTTTGTTCAAGGAAGTAACACGATATCACGAATACTGAATGAGTTATGGACCGCGAAATGAAAAAGTCAACATTACTGAAAACCCGTGTTGAAGAAAAATTACATAGGTCGATGAAATAAAAACGCCAACCAATTTTGCAAAACCCATTTGGAGTTTTACTCAGCTATAGTAGTTTCAAAACGTGGGATATGCTAACTCCAATTCTTCTGACTTGTGTTGCACTGTGTTATGTAATGTCGGACCAAATATATCGCCGTTATTATTATGTTATTAAGTATAGTTAATAATATGTGATTGCCCGTAAATCTTTACCTGGTGGGCCTGGCGGCCGTGGTGGTCCTATTGGTACAGATTAACATTTTTGATACGTTATTAA